ATGTTTTATCTAGTAGAGTTCTCAAGTATCTTAACAGATGGAGTTTACAAGTTTATTTTCTAATAGAAATGGTGATTTCAAGACAAGGAAGAAGTTGTAGGAGCTATTTATTTTTACTTTGTAAAAGGAATACCTTCCTGGCAAATATACAAGTCAATAAGCAGGCAGACCCAACAGCTTTCTTGGAAAGAGCCAGCCACTGTAGGTATGGGAGAATTCCTTTGGCTAGCCTTATCTTCCCTGCGCTTCTCTTGCACTTGTGTTGGCATAGTTGGTGGATGTTATTATTAGTGGTGTGTCCTACAAGCCATTCATTCACGGAATATGGCCCTGGGAGAGGAATCTTAATGTGAAAATAAAATTGTCATTGTTTTTCGTTGGCTTAGGGGACATCTCACATAATGGAAGCACATCCGTAAATAGAAAGACCTCAATTCAGAAAGAAAGAAAGAAAGAAAGAAAAGGTGAGGAGAGAAAGATGTTCTTAGTGGAATCAGCCGGAACTGAAAAATAAAGATTTTGTTTTGTGCAATGCTAGTTGCCTTGCCAGTCTCAAGCTGGCACTGTGGGCTTGCTGGAGCTGCTGAGCCTGAGCTGAGGAAAGAAGACAGTTTGCTTCGGGTTTATTACCCAGCCTCACCATGCGTCTCAATATGTTTTTGATTTTGTATTTCAAAAATAAGGTGAATGATCTCAAAAGGAAATCATTGCAGGCGATTTTATTTTTTGCTTTTTCTAATGGACAATTAAAAAGCAATCCTGGTCCTATTCCAGAGATTTTCTCATTTCTCAGTACAACTGTAATTTAGGCACACTGAATAGTATAATGGTGTTATTAGATATTATCATGTTTATTTTATTCATGAAAATGTGTGACACACCTTATTTATATTCTTCTCCAGGAAATGTCCTGGAATGGGTTTTGTCCTAGTTCCTTTCTGTGCCTGTCATAAGGTGTATGTTAGAATTTCTGTTCCTAAAAATAAAATAGAATTTCTTTCTTTCTTTTTTTTTTTTTTTTTTTGGAGAGCATAATGATTTTGAGCTTTGAGGAGTTTCAATAGACTATTGTTGTTTGTTTTCTTACAACTACCCAGCCCACCAAGTTGTACTGTGACACACTTCCTATGTCCATGGCAGATATTTATATTTCAAATTAAAACAACTATAATTTTCTCCTGAAAATTTTTTGGAGTTTTGTTTTTCTTGATCTATGAGGTAATTGGAGATACCCCAGGCTGTCACAAAACTAGAGCTAGGAATCACTGCTTTAGTGATTAGCACTTTGTAAGCTTTCAAAAAATATTAAAACCAGGATAGATTGTCTAATTTCTAGTGGGTGGATTCATTTTAGTATAATGTAATGTGTTAACAAATGCTCAGAGAGGAGGTTGTGGATCCAGAAAGATGGCTTTTGCAGAAGGCTTTTATCCAAATTAATTCAAAAAATAACAGGAACAGTTGTGTATTGAGGCAGAAGGAATAAGGTGACTCAATTAAATGACAGAGAAATCGCCAGGAAAAAAACTGTCTTAGGTCAACCCAACCCTAACAATACAATTTTCATCACTGAAATCAATAATCCTGTAATAAATGCGTAATAACTTTAAAAAAAGGATTCTTTTATTATTCTTTTAATAACTTTTAAAAAGGGACTCTTTCAGACATACTTTTGCATGATTGGCTATGAACCAAATATTGAACGCAAACATTGCTTTTCTTTACTTTTAAAATGATAAAGTTATCTTCTATGTCTCTAAAGAGAATCTTAAATGAGAAAGATTAAAAAAAAGTAATTTGCAAATAAATTCACCTGCTGCATTTGTGCCTGAAGCATCCTATATTTACCTAATTCATTTTTGGCCCTTGCTTAGCTCTAGCCATGGCGACACAGGGAGAAATTAATGCCAAGTCCTCTCGGCTTGCTGGAACATTTGCACAGGCAGCAGTGAATAAGTATGGGTACAGCAAGCCCCAGGGTTTAGGTCCTACTCAGGAGGGGTCTTCAGTGCTGGTCTTTAGCAGTTTCTGAAGAACCATTGTGCAGTCTGGCTAATTGGTACTGTTAGCCCGTTGCCATTTCAGGAAAGCAATTTGGTCCCTGCCCACATTCAGAGTTGGGCTCAACACACTGGTAGTCCTTGATTGAGAGAGCTCAGAATCCATCAAGTTGATAGTAAAACCTAAATGTGCTTTGTGGCTTTCTGAGATAGATTTCAGAAATTTCTGTGGTGTTTATGGATATGCAATTCACAGATCTACAACTGTATATAGAATTTGAAAAGAAAGTTGAATAAGTTAACAGGTAGACTGAGAGAAGTTATGTTATGTTATCCTGAAAACACTTCTGTTTTCTAGTTGAAACATTGTTAGGTAGGGATGTCTGGTTTGGGCTTCATGATTTTTTTGCCTGGTGGACTGCAAGGTAATTTACATTCCAAAAGATAGGCTAGGCTGTCTTCCTCCTGCTCCTGAAGCCTCTGGAAGGTGTTTTCATACAATAGTTGTTTCCAAAGCCTGTTTTGGGAAGATAATCCCCATCACTTGATCAACACATGTAGCATCTATCTAATACTCCAGCGGTCTTCATTATATTTTTACTGTAACTTTTTCCAAGGAATAAAATCCTCTACTGTCTTTAAAAGAGGATATTTATATTATTTGGATAACAGTCTCTTTCATCGTTAACTTTTCCTCATCTTTATCATCTAGTGATACAAACACAAGTAAAGAATCACTTCATACCAGCAATGATGCTGTGATCCTTAAGGTGCCAGCTCTTGTATACCTTCCTCTTATTTATTCATTTATTCTTAAAATAAAATTTTCATTTAAGTAGTTTACTTCTTAGCTCTCTGCTACTTTTGTATTTTTATCTCGTATTTTAAGATTTGCTTGGAACGAAAAATACATTTCAAGCTTGAGGAAGAACAAAACTAGATAAATACATGAAAAGTAGCCCCTTCTTTTCTTTCCCGGAATGATTTAGAAGGGGAGCAATTGGTCCCATTCTGCTTGGGGGCAATTAGGCTTTCAGTCTGTGGCTTAGTTCATGGGCACCTGGTGCCAGTGGAGCCAGGGTCAAGGGCTTGATCCTCATGTGGGTCAGTTTGCTGCCTATTTTCCCAACAGATTGTGTGGAGAGTCTGTGCAGTCACTGGGAAATGCTGGTCATTAAGGAGACTGGTGAACAGATGGGTGGTAGGTAAAAATCTAGTCTCATTCCTGGAAAAACAAAGCCTGTGCCATACTGTCTTTTTTTTGCATCTGGTCAGAATGCGCCACTTAAAATGTGAGCTTGTTACTCAACCTCCCTTCATCTCTGTTTCCTCATCTGTAGAATGGTGATAAGATTTGCTCCCTTTCTACCTCACCAGGATCTGTGAAGATTAGATAATGGCTGTAAAGTCCTTATACAAAGGTACACACATTACCATAAACAAAGAGATTAGCTGACAAATAAAAAAGAAAATATTGAAAGGAACCCCCCCAAAGTGTATTGCCTAACACTTGTGCATTACTATCAGTAGTTTGCAGTGCAAGCCATTCGGAGTTTGGCCGAAAAAAGTTAGGTGTGAGTTGTATGACCTCTCCATTATTAGTAAGGTTAAAAAAATGGTTTGATAGTGAACATTGTATTAATAAAAACAAAGTGGGCTTTGAATCTGAAACAGGTTTCATTTGAAAAGGAGGTGAAGGCAAAGGTTTCTAGGAACATATGTGCCACTGAGGAATATTTGCATCTATTTGATCTGCAAGCACGCTTCAGTGATTTTCACAGTATACCTTGGAGTTTAGGTTGTAGCAAAGAGCCGTTGCCATTGCTCAGCAGCACGGTCCGCTCTCTCCAGCTTTATTATGGCATACAGCGACAACTTCATTTTTAGTGTTAAAAAAAAATCCTCTTCACTTAATTCAGACAGTGACCTGCAGGCCTCATTCTGACTGAAGGAGCCATTCAGAATACTTCCAGACAAAAGCAGGGCTTTTTCCTAGCAACCAGATCAAAGCCAAATCTCCCAGAATAGCTCCCTCCCAGGTTTCCTTTGGTGCATAGGTTCACAAGGATTGTAAGGCTCGTGGTATCCAGTTCAAACTTCTCTTTCACACTGCAATGGAAAGGAAAACTCCTGAGGAATTTTCACAGACTCTGAAAGCTGGCAAGCATTGCACAGAGCACTTAATCCTGGGAGAACATGGTGGTCATTGGGAGCATCCCTAACTTTGTTATCGCCTGCATCTGCGTGTACATTCTGTCAGACTCTCAGAGAATGAGGTCTCTGTTTCCTTTCTGCCAGTACCTAATATCAGCTATGCCCAGGAGCCGGCTGATGAAGACTTCCTGTTTGTTTTGAGTCACTGTTAGAGTGATAAATATACTTTAGCTTTCTGCTTCGAGAGGAAAGAAACCAGCTGCCCTGAACTAAAGAGAAAAATGCAGAAATTCCACTGAATGGCCCTGTTATCATGGAGTTTCAAGGGCAGCATAAAAATGAAAACTATAAGCCTGGGCAAAGTGAATAATTTCCATATTAAAGCATTTTGCTGCATGCATAGACCTAAGTTGTTTGCCTTTAATCATTTAGGCGAACCATGCCTTTTTCACTCTTCTAAGACTAACTCAGCATTGTTTAAAATTTTTTTAAGAATGTAAACTTACACTACAGAGTAATGGTGAGCTATATAAATAAACAATTACAGTTGTGGTTTTTTGATCTGACCACAATGCTTTTTTTCTTTTTTGCATGAACATATAATGCTTCTGGATAAACAATAATGTTTACATTGTCAGGGCATCCACTGTTGTATTGAGTCATTTACATACATGATTATTTGGATATAGAGTAACTCAAGAACAAAAGAATATTATAAAATTGTTTAAAACAAGAACAACAGAAAATCCTTTACAGCTTAAATAGCACTTCCTAAATAAACCCGTGGAATTTCTAAGTTGTGTTTAAATCTCATTTTTGTCCTTTTTTTGTTTTGTTTTTGAACAGGTTTTGGGTTTGATGACCAGTGTCCTTTGATTGGAAATTACTATGTTAATTCTGACCTGGAAGACAGTGAATTTAGAATGCCCTGTTGATCTGAACATCTTGATCACTGCCTTTGGTGGGCTTTTTGTTAAGCTTGATGTAGACTTGACTTCTGGAAGCTGTGAGTTGGAAAACATGGCAACAGTTCGCATGAACTTGCAGTGGCTATGAGTTGCGCATTTCCTCCCAATAGGTATGGTCTCTTGAAACTATTTGTAATAGTAGAAGATGAGTAATTTACTAATAATTTATCATAAATCTTATTGTCCAGGATAAAAGAGATGTTTAGTTAGAAAAATCAAAATAAAATTAGCATTAACACTTTTATGATGTCGAATTAGAGATGTAGATATGGAGGCAGAATGGTGTGCATCGGCCTTATGTCAATGTATCTGGTTGCATTTGTAAAGTAAGACTTAAAAAATGCAAATGATTAGCTTTGAGTAAAGAGGTTCTCCAGCATACCAGAGTCAATGATTGTGATATCAACACAGTGGCTTCCTAGATGGGAGAATTACAGTGCTGAAGGCTTAATGGGGAATGGGTCATCAGCCTTTAAAAGCTCACATTAAAAGAAAATCATATGACAGTGGCAACTCATAAAGGAGGACATGCATTTAGAGATGCTCTGCATATTAGTTAAAACAAAGCCAATTATGCTAAATATTCTTTTTACTTTAGAAATATGTTGTGCTGTGCGTCTTTTATATGTTTCACTTTACTGACAGAGGGAGGAGGAGAAGGAAGCATTTTAAAAACATGACTGAGAATGGAAGGATTAAAGGGCCGAATAATATATTGTTTTGTCATAATGGAGACCTGTATGTACATGAACTTAGAGAGAATAGAACCAGAGAATGATGGTATTAGGAGGAGAGAAAAAAATAGCAAAGCCAATATTTTCTGTGGGTAGGAAAGAAGGGTATAAAATTTATTAGGTAAGTGTATTACAAAGCTAAGTATGGCAGGGGACAATTTTAGTTGATATATCTGCTTCTGTATTTTAAGAAGAGGTTAGAATTTGGTAGAAATAGATGAGATAGGGGTTTAGAGTAGGTGTTTTTGGTAAAATCTATCATTTAAAATAAAACGGAACTTTAATTGGGTGGGACCTATCACTTACCAAATGTAAAAAGGTGTGATAAAACAGCCCTTTACTTTTTTCAGCACTATTGAATGTCAAATATCTGCTGAAGTGAAACTATTATGGTCAAATTAATGCTACATATGTCAAATCATCATTCTTCTCAGCAACAGTAATTGCTTAGATTGTTTAAAACCAGCTTTGGTTGTGATGGTACATTTGTGATCCAGCCTTAAGGAATGAAAAGCTGTAGGAATTCTCCCCAGTTACAACCAACATCCATTTCTACATGATTGAATAAGAACATAATAATCACATCTGATGTTTGCAGATTACACTACAATTTATGAAATGCTTTGACTTGTAATACCTCGAGTGGTTCTTGGTTGTGTCTGGTTCTGGTTGTAAACGGGAACAGTAACAGGTGGTCCTCTCTCCTATATCAGTGGCCATGATGCCAGCAATGTGGTTCCTTTTTAGGCGACAGCCATGTCCCCCACCCTGCCTAACATTTCAGGAGCATCTTCCTATGAAGCAGATGCTGGAAAATGAGTATTTTCGAGTGTAGTCACTTGTAGAAAAATGAAATCGAAATGTGTTCATAGCAATTAACCCTGTATTTGCATAAACTTATTGTGACACTGCATTCCTGATCGCAAGAGTTTTAGACTGTTCTTTTGAAGAACATGAGGAATAGGGAGGGGGAATAAGGACTATGAGATATTTAGAATCATTTGCTGTGTGAGTAAAGGGTTTTAAAAAAGAATTCATTTACTAGAAGTGCTGAGGATGAGGAGGGGTTTTTCACAACTATTTTCACACTTATGAGGTGATAAGTCCAGCCCTCACAAAATAAAATGGTAGGTTTCACACTAAACCCACCCAGGCATATTCCTCTAGTCCTCTAACTCACTTATTCTTTGAGAATAAAGAGGCAGAGGTAAGATCACTTGTTCAAATGAATGGCGGAGAGTAGTCCCTGTCGTCCTTGCTTTGCCATGCTGTCTTCCAGATAGATGTATACACCATGCTCTGCATGTCATGTATGGATCTCCAGACTACCACTGCTAGTCTCCAGTGACATTCATTCTAGACCAACAATCTTCTTTGTACTACTATTCTTGATCTTTATATTTAGTGAATTAGACAACTGCATTTATAAACTTTACCACCTAGATTCACACAGTTTCTACCTGTCTTGGGTTCTCTTGACCACCATTTCTATCCTGCTTCAGTTACTCATTGGCATGAATATAATTTACTTTACACCATATTTCACCTCTCAAAATGGCCTATGTGATCACAATCTAGAGTCATGAAATGTTTCTTCAAGTGGAATCAACCTCAGAGATTATTGTAGGGCAATATCTAAAAACCAATGAACAGAATTCTTGTTTACTAACTCTCAGGTTCATTTCTTTAGCATTTTCGCCAAGTCAGGAAATGCCACCCTCATTTACACAGTTGTTGAAAAACTCCTAGGACTCACGCTTGATTCTTATGACCTTCATCACCCCATATCTAGTCACCAGTCAATCTTATCTTATGCTATCCTGAATCTATCCAATTCTTTTTCAAGAGCCAGCCATCATCTCTCGCCTTGATATGGTAAAAGCTTAAAATGCACCTCCTTGCTGCACATGCTCTCACATTTTCCTGTGTTATTTTCTCCATGTCACTTTCTCAAACTTTGTTTACGGATTTGCTTCCTTTGTGATTTTCTGGCTCTGATACCTCTTACTAGGATGTCAGTTCCAGGAGAGTGGAGACATTGAGTATAGAGTGCAGCATCAGAGTCGTTCATTGAATAGTTGTTGAGTAAATGAATTCCTCTTACACAGACTAGAAATGTGGGTCACAAAGAAGTTAAGTGCATTTCTTAGGCTCACAAGATTAGTTAGTAAGTCTACAGCTAGAATTTAGGACTCTTGACTCTCTGTCTAAAGCTCTTGTCATTTATCATATTGTGGCTACTATTGTTATTACCTTGTGAGACTGTATTACATAGATTTAGGAATGCCATCCTCATAGCTTCTGGCTTGCACTGTGGGGCTGTCTGGAAAGTGAGTGCTACTAATTATAAGATCAGTAACTAAGTGGCTGGCTAAAGTCCAAGACAGACCTGTTACACTAAATTCTACTCTTTAGCAAAATTTTAGCATACTGTCCAATGTAGCTTTAAAAACCTATGCAAACTTTAATTTTCCAGGTGATCATTCAATATTATTTTAGTTGTAATGTCACTTTAAAATATAAAACTATTTAATCTTTCTTCCTTTCCTTCTTTCTTTTTCTCTTCTTCCTTCCTTCCTTCCCTTCCTTCCTCTCTTCTTTCCTTTTCTTTCTCTCTTGATGGAGTCTCGCTGTGTTGCCCAGGATGGAGTGCAGTGGCTAGTCACAGGCATGGTCATAGTGACTACAGCCTCAAGTACCAGGTCTCAAGGGATCTTCCTGCCTCAGCCTCCTAAGTGGCTGAGACTATGGGTCCATGCCTTCACACTCAGCCATTTAATTTTTAATGTACTTTTTCCTTCTGTCTCTGAGAAGTACATTTCCACCTTTTAAGACATATCTTTCTTCCTATACTTGTGTTTTGAGTCCAATTTTCCAGCCTCTTCTGAGACTTTGTTTACTCACGTAACTATAGCCTCTTTCCTAAAACCCTGCCTTTTCCTCTTCACTGTCTTCATTTGTGAGCTACAGTGCATGGGCATTAGAATCGGGACCTCAGCTGAATCCAGGCTCTCCCACTTACAAGAAGTGGACAGGTTACTTTATTCTTCTGAAACTTGATTTCCTTGCACATAAAATGGGGATAAGGGAGGGCAATTGTGTAGATTAAGTAAAAAGCATGTAAACTTCTTAACATAGAGTATGCGCCAAATGATAGCTATAAATATTATAAAAACAACCAGATTTTACTTATCTGAAAAGAAAAAAACATGAATAGAAATGAAGATACCTCCAACATTCTCTTAGCTATGTTCTCCCTAATTATTTACCCTTCATTGCCTATCAATTATGTTCATGGGCAAAATTCTTGAGAAATAAGCTCTATATGTTTCCCTTTCTCATAATATTGTTATATCTGAACAGACTAGAACCGTGTTGTTCAGTGTCCAATGCAAGCCATGGTTATTACTAGAAATTTTCTATTTCTCATGTGTCTATGTTCTTACATTGTATTGTGAATCCCAGTCACTTAGGAGAATCAGGCAAAGTTCACTAAGCTAGCTTTGTGGTCTAAGATAGCTAGGATTTCCTACTGCAGGAGAAATATTCCATAGTCTTCCAAAGACCATCGGAAGAACCATGTGGCATCAAGTAACCTGCCTAACTGAGTGGTGGGTTTGTGGATAGAGTTCTAGTCAAGATCAATATATTTATGAATAGAGAGGTGTGCCACTATTTGGAGGAGACTGAAAACAGAAATTTAGAGGGGATCACATTGCCAATACAGGAAACATGTCTCTTTAGGTGATTCTCCCCCAGATGATGCACCATTTTTTAGAGCTAAGGGTGCCACTGGAAGGTGCATCTGAAGACAGAACTTTGCAGGAAGTTAGTGGGCAATGATGATCCATTCACCATAGCAAATCTACTCTTGGGAAAGGTGAGACGTGACTGGTTCTCTCAGAAATGCCAGAAAAATCTTGCCATAGATTGTGTAGATCTGTCTATGGTGAGAGACTTCATCTGAAGATCATGAAGAACACTGGGTAGCTGCTCAGTTGGCTTGTAAATAATAATGACTTACTACGTTTTTTGACTTTCTTTCTTTCTTTCTTTTTTTCTTTTTTTTTTTTTTTAACTAAATGTCCTTCTGCTACACAAAGTAACCAGAGTTCTTGCAAGTGTAGTTTCCAAGTATCTGCTGTGGGGCTCCAAACCAAAGGATGGGAAGCATCTAGACAGTTGCCTAGGTGTTAGTGCTGCATCCTTCCCTGGAAGAAAAGAGGCTTCTCCAATATAAAACTTGAGCAGCACCCCAGGTTGCACTCATTCTTATTTTTCTATCCCAAATGTGTATTACCCTA